TTTGGAGTTGTGCCCCATCAGCAAATAAAAGCTTCAGAAACTGAACTCCATTTGTGTCATTGTGGCTGACTCTGCTTTCAAGGAGCAGCTCTTTCCCAGTCATATTTCGAGTGCCTTCCAATCTGAGGGACTCATCTTCTGGCACTATATCTGACAATGTTCCACTGCTATTCTTAAGGTTTTCAGTGGCTAAACATTCACAAGTAGACTGTCTTTCCTTCTTTCTAATCTGTCTTAGTCTGGAAGCTCAATTGCAACCTATCTACCACAGTGATGGTGCTGGCATTTAAAATACCAGTGGTATAGCTTCTAGTATCACAACAACACACAAGTCACCACAGAATAGCTGATGGATGAGCACTGACACTAACAGGTGACTAATGGGTGAACAATTTTGTTGTTGTTGTTAAGTGCTGTCAAGTCAGTTCTGACTCATAGCGACCTGTACAGGGTTTCCGAGGCTGTAAGTCTTTACGGAAACAGAAAGCCTCATCTTTCTCCTGCAGAGCAGCTTGTAGTTTCGAACTGCTGATCTTGCGGTTCACAGCCCGATTTGTAACCACTACGCTACCAGAGCTCCTTTTTGGGGAACAAAAATTACCAACAGAAGTGAAATGACTTCAGTGTATCTAAAATTTAAAAATATATTGATAGCACGATGTAAATAACTCTACTGCATTTTATATACTTAGCTTCAACTACAGATGAACTACAAATTCAAAAAAAGCAAATACTTTTGGCCTAAGTTTACAACTCTGGTTTTCCTCACTATTATGAGCTAACAACAACAAAATGCTTCTAGTTTGGGGACAGTGTGCAAATATATGTTGTTGTTAAGTGCCAGATGGTTCTAATCCATTGTGACTCTGTATAGGGTTTCTGAGGAGCAGCTGGTGAGCTTGAACTGCTGATCTTGCAGTTCAAACCGACTTTGCAATCCAGCACATTAACTCACAGTGCCACACTAATATGTATGGATAAAAGATAACTGGGCAAATATAAATACACATACACACAAACACTCATATATATATTATGGAGCTCTGGTAGCATAGTGGTTATGAATCGGGCTGCGAACTGCAAGGTCAGCAGTTCGAAACTACCAGCTGTTCCGCGGGAGAAAGATGAGGCGTTCTGCTCCCATAAAGATTTACAGCCTTGGAAACCCTGTACACGGTCGCTATGAGTAGGAACCGATTCCACGGCACACAACAACAACAACAACTATCTATCTATCTATCTATTTATCTATCTATAGAGAGAGAGCAGCCCAATTTGTAACCACTACACTACCAGAGCATATATATATAAAATAGATTTCATCTACAGCATAATGCACTGGACTGCAAGGTGGTTTGAATGGCAAGGTTGGCAGTTCAAACTCACCAACTGCTCCTTAGAAACCCTTTACAGAGTCACTATGAGTCAGAATCAATTTAATGACACTTAACAAATAATGACGATATGTGTGTGTGTGTATGTGTGTGTGTGTGCAAATGGTGTTTATTGAATAAAACTTAATGATTAGTACATCTGTTAGAAATGAACACAAAACAACTGTGGCAAATTCAAAGTAGAAAATTGAAATTTTGTAATTATGGAGTTTTGAAAAAGAGATATTAAAGCCATAGTAGCTAGTTTTAAAAGTAATATGTATGAGTGTTTTAGGTAGGCATTCAGGATGGAAGGATATTTTTTTGTCTAGTTTTTTATATTTTAAATGTATCCAGAGGTGTACTGTTGAATGCATTCTCCAAATATTGGCTCTCCAAAAATATATGTACATTTATATACATTGTTGTTATTAAGTACTGTGGAGTCGGTTCCGACTCACTGTGACCCTGCAAAGGGTTTCCAAG